TACATTGCGAACTTGAAGAATAAATTTATATGAGACAACCCCATGGTTTTGAGATTGAAGGTAAGGAAGACTATGTTTGCTTGTTGAAGAAATCCTTATATGAATTGAAACAGTCTCCAACACAATGGTATAAAAGGTTTGATTCCTTTATGTTTGGTCATGGTTATTTGAGGAGTATGTATGATAGTTGTGTTTATTTCCGGAAGTTAAATGATGGTTCTTTTATTTATTTGCTGCTTTATGTTGTTGACATGCTCATTGCTGCTAAGAATTTGTCAGAAAGTCACACTTTGAAACTGCAGTTAAATAGTGAATTTGAAATGAAAGATTTGGGAGCAGCTAAGAAAATTCTTGGCATGGATATCAAGCGAGATCGAGGAGTATGGAAGTTGTTCTTGATCCAAAAAAATTATCTTAAAAAAGTCTTAGAGCATTTTGGCATGAAAGATACTAAATCAGTATCTACTCCTCTTGCTAGCCATTTTCGCCTATCTGCTGCTCAATCACCAAAATCAGATGAAGAAGAAGATTATATGGCACGGGTTCCTTGTTCTAGTGCAGTCGACAGTATTATGTATGCAATGGTTTGTACTCATCCGGATATTTCACAAGCAGTAGTATTGTTAGTAGATATATGTCTTGTCCAGGTAAAGAACACTGGCAGGCTGTGAAGTGGATTCTCAAATACTTGTAAGGGACTTCAAACGCTTGTTTGGAGTTTGGAAGAAATAAAATCACTCTGGTTGGTTTTGTAGATTCAAATTATGCCGGGGATCTTGACAGAAGAAGATCACTTTCAAACTACGTATTTTGCATTGGGGGTTGTGCAGTTAGTTGGAAAGCTACTTTACAACCCATTGTGGCTCTATCTACCACGGAGGCAGAATACATGGCAGTCATCGAGGCAATCAAAGAAGCCTTGTGGTTGAAGGGATTATTTGGCGAGTTTAATCTACATCAGGATGCTACGGTTATTCACTGTGATAGTCAAAGTGCTATACACTTGACTAAAGATCAAATGTATCATGAGAGGACGAAACACATTGATGTGAAGTATCACTTCATTCGAGATATCATTGCTGAAAGAAAGATTCTTATTCAGAAAATCAATACTAAGGACAATCCAACTGACGTGTTTACGAAACCTCTTCCAGTTTACAAGTTCAAACAGTGCTTGGACTTGGTTGGTGTTCGTTGTATGTGATTTGCCCCATTGGGGCTTATGTGGAGAAGGTGGAGTAGTTTTACTATTGTCGATGGTGAGATTAAAAATTATGCTAAGGTGGAGATTTGTTGACTTTTCAACCCCTACAATGGTTGAATTTGGTGGCAAAATTTTTCCGTCCCACATCGGCAATCAAGAAGGAAAGCCTCCCCTTGTTTACCTATAAATAGGGGGCTTGGCGTTGAAGTTAATCGCACCACTCAAGGGAGTTATATGGGATATTAGATTCTTGAGTCATCTAACCCATTTGTAGTCAAATATTTTAGGCTCTCTTGTTTTGAGTTTAGGAATATTTCCTAAATCTTTTGTAAGTGCCATTTTGGCCTAAGAACCACTTTCCTACGCCTTTTGTATTTCTTCTTCATAGTAGAAATATTGCTCCTCCTCCGATTGTGGACGTAGGTCAATTTGACCGAACCACGTAAATTTCTGCGTCTTTTATTTTTCTTTGTTATTTATCTTTATTGGGTTGGCACAACCCTTTTATATGGTCGATTTTACCGCCTAATCATTATATGGTCGGTGTCTACCGCCTAATCATTATATGGTCGGTTATACCGTTTATTTTGTTTTAACTTTAATATATTTATTCTTGGGCCAGTCCTAACAATTTCGATACTACAAAAAGTAAAACAAAATTTTGCTTACACTATTTACACTCTTAGATTACTTTGACAAATGAAGAATCCAAATATTTTGTTTTGTAATTTTACAGTCATTAAGATGAATTAACAAATTTGAATATAGAGTTTTTGGTTTGATTACATTCTTTTGCACTCCTATGAAAATGGTACGTGACCAAAGAAACAAAAATAAATGGGAATATTTTCAATGCTGTACGACAACCTTATCCTTCTTGTCCTTTGTTTTCCTTGCTATAACCGGGCAAGAAGCAGCATTAAACAAAGTTAGCAGAAATGGTCAAATTATACCGCCTTCATTGAAAATTGAGACCCCTTCTTTATTTATTTTGCTATATGTAATTAAATGGGAGCAAGTCACCTGACATCAAAACCTGAAGATCAGCAACAATGTTTCAATGGCAACTTGAACATAGATGGAATTACCTTTGAAGCAGAGGAAACCAAAACGAAGAGAGAAACAAGTGACGCCAAAAACCAAAAATAGTGGAGTAACCCAAAACTGGACCAGATAACATGATCCAAGGGGACTTCCTCCCTCCAATTCAATAATATTCTTTCATTCATTCACTTTTATATCTTTTCGCATCCAAACAGCACAATGCCAAAAGTAATAGCAATGTCCATTCCCAAAATAGAGCAATTAAGTTACAATAAATCAAAGTCAGACTCCTCAAAAAAGGAAAACTTACAAAATACTTCAAAAAATTTATTCATATTATGATGGAGGCAACAAAACATAAAATCTCCAAGTTTCCACAAAAACATAATAAGTGTTATTCCCAGATGAATAATATATCCTGAAGAGCTTTCGGAGTAAAACAGGCAATAAGAACCCAAACAAACTGAAGCAACAAAAGGCCATATTAACGACAGCAAGGCCTCCTACAATGCACAATCTTCTAGATTGCCACAAGTCTTGTAAAATTCACACCTCAACCACTCCACAACAGTAAACATCCTCCCTGAATTGTATAAAATTGAACAAGCACCAATACAAAAATTGGCCTGGAAAATGCACCGTAGAAAGCAGTCCTTCCGTTAAAATCCGACTAGCAAGAAGAAAGGCGTGATACAGCTGCCTTGAGTTCCTGATACTCCTTTGTGTCCTCGAAACATACCTTCAAGCATATATGCTGGTGGGAGAACTAAACTGATTATTCTAGAAAGGAGCACATAGAGACTTTGAAGCGTGTGTTTTCCCCAAGATTCTCAGATTGGGTTGAGTGGAAATAGCTGGAAAGGCGGCTTTTGATTTAAAAAAAAAAACATTGGATGTATACTAAGGAAAAGACTATGAAAGCCAAATCTTCAACACTAACCATGCTAGTAGTGGCAAGAAAATCATTCCTGCAAGTTCTGAAATGTGAGGAAAAACCTTTGGGGATCGAGGCTTTTCCACGCCCAAGCAGGACAAAGTCTGTGATTTAAGATCATCCAGATTCCTTTTTTCCAACATCTTCTGAGAATTCCTTTTTCTTCACCTTGAGAGGTTTGCTTCTTTTTTCCACACAGCCAACTGAAACAGTACTGGCATGTTATTTCTGCTAGTAAATGTTCAAGTAGTAGCCTAAAGTGCCAGATTTTGGCAACTGAAAAGCATTCGGCTAAAACAAAAGTTTGTGTTTAGATCTGTCTTTATTGCATTTATTGCAAGTCTTCTCTTCTGGTTACATTAATTCTTTAAGACGTTATCCAAAAAGTTTACTAACAATTAACAGAATCAAAACCTCCTAGAAATTGTGCTTCTGTGAAAGCGGACTCAAACTGAAAATGCATAACTTCAAGACCTTAATCTATGAGCTGATGATTCAAGAGTAAAAGAACCACGATTTAAGTGATGATAGAAGATGTCTCCAAAAAATAGAATCCAGTGAATTGGAAACAGAGAATGTATACAAAACCTAACACGTAAAGTCATAACAAAAGAATAGGTTTACTCAGTAGTAATCAAAATAACATGCCAAAGTTTTACCAGAAAAAATCGAGCTGATCTCAAAAGTCCAAGTCTGAACAATCAACAAGGACCGTCAGCTTATTCCGCATGTCAGGTTGTTCCTCCTGGAGCCGTCTCACAGACTCCTCAAGAGAGCCTGTGCACAATAGGACCTCAATCATCTCCAGAGTAGAACTTCCAAAAACCAGAGGGGACCTCCTTGAGCTGCTTGCAACTTTTCAAAATTAGGTGTTGAAGTTGTGGCAGGTGATCACTGGAGGCATTCCATTCAGCAATGTTTAGGCTGTCGAGCTTCAAAAATTTCAGTTTAAGGAACTCGCCTTCTTTCATTTCCCACACTTTCCCCTCAAAGGCTTTATACTGTAATTTTAGAATCTCAAGGTTAGGTAATCTCCCAATGTCCGAAATACAATCCCATGGCAGTCGAAACTTTGATAGAGTTAACTTCCTAAGATTCGATGGGAAGTCAAACTTACAAGGACTAGCAACCCTGCCTGAGTAGAGCATATTGAGGGACTCAAGCTCAGTGAGAAAATTCAGCACTGGAAATTGATTGGACTTCCCAGTATCATCCCGTAATTCAGAAAATCGACATTTCAGTTTCCGAAGTTTGAGCAACCTCCTCATGATATCCTCTATACCTTTACTACAAAGGAGATATGGAGATGAAAGACTAACCAGATTAAGTACATCTGGGAAAACTATGCTTTCACCATCTTGCAAGGTGATGACAGCATAATTTTTTACATGGACATGCCTCAAGTTTTCCATGCTCCACATAGCATAAGGTAGTGATACATTACCTTTCAACCCCTTCACAAGCAAGGTTTCAAGATTCTGGAGAAATGTTATTGATGCTGGAATACTATCTATATCACCACAAAGAGCTAAAAATCTCAGACCAACCAACACTAGTACTCCAGTGGGGAAAGAATCCCCCATATTGATGCATTCCAAATCCAGCACTCTGAGAAGTTTAAAGTTGTCAAAAATGAAGGAGATGTCATAGGGACATCTTGGATACAAATCATTGGTGGCAGAGTACAGCAGAGAGCGCACATATGGCCCAGAAGGTCTTGACATGATAAAATGATTTCTCTTGGAGCAGATACATAACGACGTTTTTGGTATTTGATAGAGTTTTTGGGATAAATGTAATTGGGATCAACACCATAGTCTATATCCTCGTGAGAAGAATAAAAAAGTTCGTCATACCCATTTTGGAGCTGCAAAAGGTTTTCTTCTTCAGACTTTCGGGTATGCATAATGTACGCAACATGTCATGGACACGACATGTTTTGATTCCTCCGTGTGATCTTCTTTTGGAAGGCAGTACGAGGCTTCTTCCAATCAGATCCCTCAAGTACCCCTCTGCAATATCTTCTATGCTTTCTGCTCCTGTATCTGTTAAAAATCCTTCTGCTCTCCATAACCATGCCAACTTCTTAACTGGAATGTCTTTATCCTCCAAAATTACTGCAGTATAAAGAAAGCAAGGTTTCAAATAGTTGGGTAAATACCTGTAGCATATGTCTAAGATCTCCATGCACCTCATTTCAGGATCATCGGTAGTCTGTGAGCATATACTTTCTAAAACTTCTTTCCACCTATCGAGTATCATGTCCGTCCTTCCAAGGAGACCAGCTATTGCAATAACTGCAAGAGGGAGTCCTTTACAGCTTGCAGCAATTTGCTCTCCAACTTCCATCAGTTCATTGGGGCACTCTTTTGTGTCGAACAACTTCTTCTGTAATAGCTTCCTACTTTCATCATCAGAGAGTCGCCGAAGAGAATGAGGAGTACCATCTACTTCATCTTCTGCAGCCACATGAAAGTGACGGCTCGTGATCAGTATTCTGCTTCCATTGTCGTCATTTGGAAATGATCTTTTAAAATCATACAATGCCTCAATGCTCCAGATATCGTCCATAACAATGAGGTACCTATTTCTCCTCAGGCATCGGTACAACTTGAGCTTTAATTCTTCATCACTCATTTCGAGGACATCATCAGTAAGTTCCACGATGTCACTTAAAATCTGAAGAAGCAATTCTCTTTTCTGATATGCTTGGGAGACACAACACCATGCTTGAATGTGGAAGTGATATGTAACTAAAGGATCGTTGTATACCCTCCTGACTAAAGTTGTCTTGCCGAGTCCAGCCATGCCAACAACTGCGACAACATCTAGTTTTCCTGACCCAGATATAAGTCTATCAATGACCAGCTTTTTTTCATCAGTAAGATCAATTACAACTTCATCAATCTTGGGAATTTTAGCTGGTGATGAAACCATCATTGAACTGGTGGGAACATTATGGATGTTGATGCCATGTGCATTGTTACAGGTTCTCTTGCCTGAAGCTTTATAAGTTTGAGATCTTCCACGAGATCAGAAAGCCATAATTGATGATTGTTGTTTTGTCAGAGCCGCAAGCTTTGACTTGTGGCATAATTTTTCATTTCCTTCTCATCCCACATCGGAGCCTGCTGAAGAGAAGCCGGCTACTCGAGGCCTATAAATAGAAGGGTCCATTGAAGGATTTAACTTGCACCACTCAAGAGAGTTATATGGGCTATTAGCTTCTTGAGTCATCTAGCCCATTCAGTCAAATATTTTAGGCTCTCTTGTTTTGAGTTTAGGAATATTTCTAAACTCTTTTATAAGTGCCTATTGGCCTAGGAACCACTTTCCTACGGCTTTTGTATTTCTTCTTCATAGTAGAAATATTGCTCCTCCCTCGCCCGTGGACGTAGGTCAATTTGACCGAACCACGTAAATCTTTTGTGTCTTTTATTTGCTTTGTTATCCGTCTTTATATGGTCGGTTTTACCGCCTAATTATTATATGGCTGGTATCTACCGCCTATCTATTATATGGTCGGTTATACCGCCTACTTTGTGCTAACTTGAGTTTGTCTATTTCCTGGCCCGGTCCTAACAAACTGGTATCAGAGCTGGTTGTTATATTTTGCAAGACAGGTTCATCTGGTGGGGCCCGTTCATCTGGTGGGGTCCGTCCATCCTGTGGGGCCCACTCATCCTGTGGGGTCCGTTTATCCGTGGGGCCCGCTCACCTTGTGGGGTCCGTTCATCCCCGTGGGGCCCGCTTATCTCGTGGGTCCGCTCACCCTGTGGGGCCCGCTCACGAGACTTGCATATTTGTTTGGCCAGTTTTTTGAGACAAATTTCAAGTTACAGATTTTGTGGCAACAATGACGATAACAAAGACGGTTGTCGAGAAATTCGACAGGAATGTCAACTTCGGCATGTGGCAGCTCAAGATGGAGGCCATTCTTGTTCAAGACGGAGTTGATTTGGCAATTCAAGGAATTGAGAAAAAGCCAGAAGATGTGACAGATGCAAATTTTGCTGAGATGGATAAGAAGGCAAGATCCAGTATTATCCTAAATCTCTCCGATGAGGTATTGCGTGAGGTAGCAACGGAGACTTCGGCCAAGGCTATGTGGGATAAATTGAAAGCCTTGTATATGAAGAAGACAGTCGAGAATCGGCTATATTTGAAGCAGAGTTTGTATATGCTTCGGATGTCTGAAGGTACATCTATACTCTCCCATCTTGATAAATTTGATTCCATTATTATGGATTTGGAGAATATAGATTCGAAAATTGATGATGAAGATCAGCCCTATTACTTTTGTTTCCCTTCCCAGTCCTTTAAGCATTTCCGTGATACTATGATATATGGAAAGGAAACAATTTCGTATCGGGAAATTAAATCTGCATTAAAATCTAAAGAGCAGATAGATAGGGATATTACTGGGGAAACTAGTGGGAGTCAAGCCGATGGCTTGTTTGTTCGGGGTAGATCTGAAAGAGAAACACAGAAAATAGAAGTAGATCCAAGTCCAGACATAAAAATGTGTGTGCAACTATTGTAAAAAGAAGGGCCATATTATCTCTGATTGCTTTAAATTGAAAAATAAAGAAAAGCAAAAGGGAAATTTGTTGAGAGAAATACTGAATCCGCTGAAGCTAGTATAGCAGCTGATGAGAATGATGGAACCATTTTCTGTGCAACGGAAAATAATTTTAGGTCTAACAATGAGTGGATTTTAGATTCGGGTTGTTCATATCATATGTGTCCCAATAAGGACTGGTTTTCAACATATGAATCAACTGAAGGTGGAGTTGTCTTAATGGGCAACAACGCTGTTTGTAAAGTTGTTGGCAAAGGCACAATCCGGATTAAAATGTACGATGGTATTGTGAGGACGCTCACAAATGTTAGACATGTTCCAGATTTGAAGAAAAATCTCATCTCTTTGGGCACTCTTGAGTCTATCGGGTGCAGGTATTCAGGTGGAGACGGAGTTCTAAAATCACTCGAGGAGCTCTTGTTGTTATGAAGGCACACAGATCTGGTACTTTGTATATTTTGCAGGGATCTACTGTGACAGGTGCTGCTGCTGTTTCAACATCATCTTTGTCAGATACAGACATCACCAAATTATGGCATATGCGTTTGGGGCACATGAGCGAAAAAGGCTTGGGCATACTAAGCAAAAGAGGACTTCTTGTGGACAAAGTACCGGCCATTGGAATTCTGTGAACATTGTATTTTTGGGAAGCAGAAAAGAGTCAGCTTCAGTTCACCAGCAATTCACAAGACAAAAGGTACTCTTGATTACATTCATTCAGATCTATGGGGTCCTTCTCGTGCTCCTTCTAAAGGTGGTGCCAGGTACATGTTGACTTTCATTGATGATTATTCAAGGAAAGTTTGGGTCTATTTTCTTAAGCACAAAAATGATGTTTTCCTAACTTTCAAGCAATGGAAAGTTTTGATTGAGAAACAAACAGGAAAACATGTTAAGCGGTTGAGAACAGATAATGGCATGGAATTTTGTGGAGGTGAATTTAATGAATTTTGCAAAAATGAAGGAATTGTTCGGCATCACACCGTCAGGATGACGCCTCAACAAAATGGTGTGGCGAACGTATGAACAGAACGCTTTTGGAGAGAGCAAGATGTATGATCTCCAATGCAGGGTTGACAAACGACTTTTGGGCAGAGGCGATCAATATGGCCTGTTATATTGTCAACCGTTCTCCTTCTGCATCTCTTGATTTCAAAACTCCTGAGGAAGTTTGGTCAGGTACTCCTGCTGATTACTCCAATTTAAAAGTTTTTGGGTGTCCAGCATACATGCACGTGAATGATGGAAAATTGGAGCCTAGGGCTAAAAAGTGCATTTTTCTTGGGTATGCTTCTGGGGTGAAAGGATACAGATTATGGTATCCTGATCCCAAATCCCAAAATTTGTAATCAGTAGAGATGTTACTTTTGATGAATTATCTATGTTATCTTCCAAGAAGGAGTCTTCTAGTCCTTGTACTACTGATAGTACACAGAAGCAGGTGGAGCTTGATATTGGCAGTTCTGGTCCTTCTCAATCCAAATCTTCTATTCACAAGTGCCAGTAGATACACCTGAATCTACTGTTGAAGATAGTTCAGAAGAAGAGGAGTATTCCATAGCCAGAGATAGAGCAAGGAGAGACATTCGACCACCACAAAGATATGCAAATTTAGTTGCATATGCTTTGTCTGTTGCAGAAGAAACTGATGCAGTTGGTGAGCCTTCCACCTATTCAGAAGCAGTTTCTTGTGATGATTCTGCAAAGTGGTTGATTGCGATGAATGAAGAAATTGAATCTCTTCATCAGAATGAAACTTGGGTTCTTGTAAAGCCGCCGTCAGCTAAGAAAATTGTTGGTTGCAAGTGGGTCTTCAAGAAAAAGGAAGGTATTCCAGGGGTTGAAGATGCAAGGTATAAAGCACGATTAGTTGCAAAGGGCTATAGTCAGGTACAAGGTGTTGATTTTAATGATATATTCTCACCTGTTGTTAAACATAGCTCTATTCGTGTTTTGCTTGCTTTAGTTGCCATGTATAATTTGGAGTTAGAACAGCTCGACGTTAAGACAGCTTTCTTACATGGCGAACTTGAAGAACAAATTTATATGAGACAACCCCAGGGTTTTGAAATTGAAGGTAAGGAAGACCATGTTTGCTTATTGAAGAAATCCTTATATGGATTGAAGCAGTCTCCAAGACAATGGTATAAAAGGTTTGATTCCTTTATGTTGGTCATGGGTATTTGAGAGCATGTGATGATAGTTGTGTTTACTTCCGGAAGTTAAATGATGGTTCTTCCATTTATTTGCTGCTTTATGTTGATGACATGCTCATTGCTGCAAGAATTTGTCAGAAATTCACACCTTGAAACTGCAGTTAAATAGTGAATTTGAAATGAAAGATTTGGGAGCAACTAAGAAAATTCTTGGGCATGGATATCAAGCGAGATCGAGGAGTAGGGAAGTTATTTTTGACCTAGAAAAATTACCTTGAAAAGGTCTTGGAGCGTTTTGGCATGAAAAGATGCTAAACCAGTATCTACTCCTCTTGCTAGCCATTTTCGGCTATCTGCTGCTCAATCACCAAAATCAGATGAAGAGGAAGATTATATGGCACGGGTTCCTTATTCCAGTGCAGTCGGCAGATTATGTATGCAATGGTTTGTACTCGTCCAGATATTGCACAAGCAGTCAGTGTTGTTAGCAGATATATGTCTTGCCCTGGTAAAACACATTGGCAGGCTGTGAAGTGGATTCTCAGATATTTGCGAGGTACTTCAAATGCATGTTTGGAGTTTGGAAGGAATAATAACACTTTGGTTGGTTTTGTAGACTCAGACTACGCTGGGGATCTTGACAGGAGAAGATCACTTTCAGGCTATGTATTTTGCATTGGCGGTTGTGCTGTTAGTTGGAAAGCTACTCTACAACCTGTCGTAGCTTTGTCTACTACAGAAGCAGAATATATGGCTGTGACCGAGGCAATCAAAGAAGCCTTGTGGTTGAAGAATTTATTTAGCGAGTTAAGTCTATATCAAGGTGTTACTGATACACTGATAGTCAAAGTGCCATACACTTGACTAAAGATCAGATGATGATCAGGAGGACGAAACAAACATTGATGTGAAGTATCACTTTATTCGGGATATCATTGCTGAGGGAAAAGTCCTTATTCAGAAAATCAATACTAAGGACAATCCAGCCGATATGTTTACGAAACCTCTTCCAGTTTACAAGTTCAAGCAGTGCTTGGACTTGATTGGTGTTCGTTTGTGATTTAAGCCCATTGGGGCTTATGTGAAGAAGGTGGAGAAATTTTTACTATTGTCGATGATAGAATTCAAAATTATGCCAAGGTGGAGGTTGTGTTGTTTTGTCAGAGCCGCAAGCTTTGACTTGTGGCATAATTTTTCAT